TCAGCAAAATGTTTTGGTGACAAAAAAGGCTGACACCTGAGAGAATAGCATGTTTTTAATGCAAAAATATTCTGCCACATACTGCTCATTAATTTCTTAAAGTATGAGATGTTTTCCAGAACCATACTGAATTTTTCTGAGGTCTGATGGTGAATTTGACATACAAAGCAGTCTATGCTTTTGTCCAATTGTATTAATTATATTCAGTTCCTGTACTACTTGTCTCTGCTTGAGAAGGCTTATCCTGTGATAAAGTATGTGTTTTGGAAGAAAACAGCAATTCATGTTGTTAAACTAAATTGTACATGAAGTAAATATATTCAGCAATTTAAAATTTTTTGTGCCTAATAAAGATAATTACAGCTAAAAAAGAACAGTTTTTTCTCTCCAAGCAGTCTTGGAGGACTTTCATTTTATACTAAGGATCAAGGAGGATCCGGAACAGCTAGAACCCTTACACAGTGTAGGTGGGAATGTAAACTAGTACAGTGACATCAGAGGACGGCCTTTGAGTTGAAATATACATTCTTTCTGATCCAACATTACCAGTTTCAGGTATATATCCAACCCAAATTTGAATATGAAAACAAAAAGACATATGAGAGAATTTTCACACCAATATTCCTTATAATAGATAAATATTAGGAACAACCTACATGCTTACCAAAGTAGAACACATTGTATCAATGGAACACTATACAAGAAAAGTGGTCAAACTTCTACCACTTTCAACAAGTTGGATGAATCTCACATGCATATTTTTCAACAAAAGAAACCAGGCAAGAAGGACAGACACTGCATGATTAGCCAAAGGTAAGGTTCAAAACAGACAAAAGCAATTTAGGGTGACAAGTGGCAGAATAATGCTTACCTTTTGAGGATAAGTGACTTGTATGACATTATGAAAAATTCCGGAGTACTTATTAAATACTGTGATCTGAGTGCATTCACTCAGGAAAATTCACTGAGGTATGTACTTTGGTTTGTATATTTTATTATTCTTATTTAAAAATTTGATTAATACGTAATAATGGTAACATTAACGGGACAGTGTGACATTGCAATACACGAACACATTGTGCACTGATCAAGTTAGGATAATTATTTCCCGTCTTTGTCATTTCTTTATGTGTGGAGCCTTCACACTCCCTTGTCTAGATCTTCCTGAAGTATACAACAGGTTCTTGGGAAGTCTAGCCATACCACTGTGCTTTGGAACATCATCATTTTCCTTCCATCTAACTCCATTTTGGTGCCTGTTACCAACACTTCCTTTAGCCCTCATTCCTGCTGTTTTCTCAGTCTCTGGAAAATTCTGTTGGTGTTTAAAAATAAAAGCTTCCACATATGAGAGAGAACATGTGATATTGGTCTTTTTGTATCTGGCTTACTTCATTGAACACAATGTCTTTTGATTTTACTGCTTTAAATCTTTATGGCTGAAGAATAGTCAAATTTGTATACATATCACATTTTCTCCATCAGTTCATCCATCAGTGGACACCTAGGTTGGTTCCACATCTTAGTATTGTGACTAGAGCCTCAATAGATGTTGGAGTACAGGTATATCTTTAGTATGTTGATTCCATTTCCTTTAGATATATACCCAGAAGTGAGATAGTTGGATTAAATGGTAGATCTATTCTGAGTTTTTTCAGGAATCTCCATACTGTTTTCCTAAATGAAATATACATTTTCCTACCAATAGTGTATAAGAATTTCCAAAATGAAATATACATTTTTCCACCAATAGTGTATAAGAATTTCCTTTTCTTCACATTCTCACTAGCATTTATCTTTTTTTTTGTTTTTTTGATAAAGCCATTGTAACTTGAGTGGCATGATATCTCCTTGTGGTTTTTATTTGTATTCCCTGATTGCTAACAATAGTAAACATTTTTCCATGTATTTGTGTACATTTGTATTTCTATTTTATACAAATACAGTTTATTTACTTTCTTTTTCTTAAGGAGGGTTTCACTTCTCTGGTTTATCATCATCCCTTATACATTTCTAGTCTTTTAACAGTGGGGATTTTGGAGAGAAGGGCTGTTAGCTACTATGATTATCTGATATCTAAAGTAAGTATTATTCATGGACGTGTAAATTCCCAAATTGACAACTTCTCGTAGATCTCATCCCCATGGGGGATCAGACTCAGCACCTTGTGCTTGCAAGGCAGGCGCGATGCCACTGAGCTATATCCCAGGCCCCCTAACTTCTCGTATGTAAGGGAAAATCTGTGGGGAAAAAGAAAGAGGAAAATGTGGATCCTGAGGACAAACTTGATCTTATACTGCCACAGATAATCACAGCCCTGAGAATGCAGCTTGCTGATATTAGCAAAAGGACCTTATTTTCTGGTGGGAAGGCAGGTTATTTCTCTAGTCTTATTTTTCCTGAAATTGATTTCCCTGTGTGATGGCTACTCTTTTCCACAAAGGGTTTGCAAGCTGAAGAGAGTGGGAAGAAAACTTCTATTTCAGTAAAAATGGCCTTGGTTTTGGCCATGGTCAACACTACTTTCATTTATCAGACCTAACTTTCACCCATATAAAACTGCTAGCAGTCAATGTTGGGTTAAATGATCAATCTCTCCCCAAGTCTTTTATTCTTTTCAGAAGTTTTTCTCAGCTCTGCTCTGTTAGTGGTACTCCAAGGATTTCAGGGTTAATTAATGGAGATTTGCTTTTACTTTGTCCTTCAATTCTTCCAGAAGTATATATGTCTTATTTTGCAATATCTTCTTCAATTGATCCGGTTTCATCATAGATGCTTCAATATATCAATGTTTCTTTCAGGCTGTGGTACACAGAATTCTGTGTGATAACGTCAGGCATGTCAGAGCACAAAGCCATGGGATTTTATGCTCTTTCATTTTCTTTGAAAATTAATTTTATTGATACATTTTAGGTATACAGTATAATGATAATCATCATTGGAAGTTCACACCTTTACATAATCTCTCTTGGTTCTTATTTTTTCCCCATTCCTCTGCCCTCCCTTCAACCCCTCCATCCCTCCTGATTTACAAAGACTTTGTTTCCATTTTTTCATTTTCTCACATTAATTCCATTCCCTTCTTTCTTTTCCCCTACCCCTTCCACTTCCCCTCCCCCTTGCCCCTTTTCTTCCTATTCCTATCTATTATACCTTTCAGTCCTTCTTTACACTTTCAGCTTCTCACACTAGAGAAACTATTCAGTATTTACATATGTGTGTCCTCTTTATTTCACTTAAGTGTATTGACTCAATGTGCATCCATTTAGCTGTAGATGTCTCTAATTTCTCTTTTTTATGGCTGAGTAGTACTTCATTTTAGAAAAAACCCACATCTTCTTTATCCAGTCTCCAGTTGATGGGCAATTGGGCTGCTTCCAAGTTTTAGCTATTACAAATTGTGCTGCTATGAACATGGGTGCACATATATCACTGTGGTATGATTCTTTTA